AACCTTGCCGATGATGCAGAGGATGATGAAGATGTTAATCTCGAGTAGTTTGATGTATTATAGGAATGTTCATTACGAGCAGCCACAAAAAAAATCAGACTCTGTCAATGATAATGACATCCTCGAGCATGCTGACAGAGGATACGTCTAACGGCATTTGTGGGACTTAGATGAATTGACATCTTATCGGAGAATTCCGGCGGAGTACTGAATTATCTTATTGGGCTCAGTCGACACATATCTTCTCTCTCTACATTGTCCTCGACATCCAGCATGTTTGCACTTCAAGGTGACTCTTCCAATGACAGAAATTTCTATGGTCCTGTTTTGCAGAATCCACGACTTGGATGGGGAGAGCCTTATACTCCATCTCCCCTATCTCCGTGGATGCCATTACCCGGTGACCCTTTAACAGATTCAGCTCCAGCACCATTACAACGTTATCAGTTTCATCAAGTGAGTACTAGTACTAGAGCATATTTGGATCACTTATTATCTCATAAAAACATATTTTTAGGGCGCATATATGCAGGATAATCAGCAAATGATGGCCTTGCAGGATCGCTGCAAGGCACTGGAGATTCAGGTCGTCAAGCTGACTACTGAGCACGATGCATTCCAGTGAGTGTTTTCCGGTCTAAATTTTTTTGATTTAATCATCCGTTATAGGTCAATTTTTCAACAGCTTGCCAGCGCACTACAGCAGTCTGGAAACCCTCTTACCTTTGATCCTACTTTCCCTGCCCAGCTAGGTAGCAATGATGCTAATCGCCCCACGCCTCAAACACATCCAAAAGTTCGCTTTTGGAACCAGATCGACTACATTGAATGGCTCGACACTTCCATGGGCCGACTCTCTGACCGTGGAAAGTTAGGCTACCTCGAGCATGAAAATGGTGGTTCGATTCCCGCAACTATGGTCAAGGGTATTCGGAAAGCCCTCCGTGCTGGCTGGTGTGAACTAACTAATCGCAAACTTGCCCCAAAGACTTGGGGTGTTTTATCTGCCTCCGGACGAAAGCTCATTCACACCCTGATGGAGGACGCCTATCCCTTGCTAAAGTTTGCCAACGATGGATGGAAATTAGAGTACCTTGCCAGCACATCATACTCTGCTTGGCGTAGAACCTATCTCACTGACGACGGCAACTGGAAGTCGAAGAATCACGGCAATGAGGACGAGGATGAAAGTGATGATGGAAATGCTGGTGACTCGCAAACCTCGGGCTTAAAAGGTAAAAAGCGTAAGAAGGCGAAATTCTCCATCAAGTCCGAAGTCCCTCAAAAGAAGATGAAAGGTAAGTTTTTTTTATTGGTTATGTGTGATATTGACAATATTTCCTAGCTGATTCCGAGTCTGCTGATACGATTCTACCGCAGATATCAACTACCGATACACCATCATCATCAACTTCAAGTACTCCACCTTTAGTCGTTTCGCCTCTACCTTCCCATTCTTCATCAGACTCTCCAACACCAGACTCTCCGACATCAAACTTTCTGACGCCCTCTCCAATAGCACTAGCATCTCTGACACTAGCCTCTCTAACAATAGCATCTCCGACACCGGATTCCCCACCCGAACTTCTACCAACTGCTCCTGCGCTGCTTTCTCCCGAGTTAGGCCCGGACTTACATAATAAAGAAAATATCCCTCCAAAGCTCCTCGCTGCACCGACACATATCAACGTTGTAGTTGCAAATCCGCTGTAAGTTGACATTATTGCACTGAATGTCTCGACTAACTTTTCAGTAGGGCAGCACTTGCTCTCGCAGCATCACAAGTTCAGTTGCCACCTCTTCCTCTCGAACCTGCCTCTTCCCCACTCCCTTCTGCACCCAATGGTGCCAATTCTGAGGCGAACACTCAAAATCATGCTGGTCTCCCCACCACGGACAACGCTAATGCTTCAAAGGCTACAACAGGATCTACCAAAATCAGCACCAAGGGTAAGATGCGTCCGAGCAGTACTAAAAATGGACGGTAAGTGTGTTCGAATGACAACAGTTTATCAGTCTCTATGCTGATTTTTATGTTAGCAACTTGTGTGCCCAACGTGTTAGAATAACCAAGTGAAGCAAGCCACAAGTGAGCTAATGAGAGTGAACAGGACTATAGTCCAGTGTCAGTTGCTATTGTGTTGTGTAAACTAATGAGTGTACTATACCTATAGTCCAGTGTCAGTTGCTGAAGAGCAACCAACACAGGACTTGCTACCTATGGGCGAGTCTATGTAAACAAGTGTAAACACTGCCTAAGTAAGTAATGGATTTCACATCACATGCTAAGTGAGAGTCCAATAGAGGAAGCAACATCATAACACAAATAACTCGCACCATAAGGTGCTCAATCACCACAACTAACACAAACGATGGCTCAAGACATTGAAGACAAACGGAACGACTGAGGAATTTTGTGCTTACTATGGAGATCTCACGCCGGCTCAACGAAAGGTACATCGCTACTTTATTCCAGATGTACATGCTTTGATTTGTTTGGTATGACAGGCATATGATGACGAGTCAGCGTCACTGGTAAGTAGTTGTATTGCCTGACAACTGCGAGGTTTGGTCTAATCTACTGCAGGTTGCCAATAACTCCTGGAACAAGATCACTTACGATGGAACAATATACTAGATCCCAATCATTTCAGCTCGACTCGGACTCCTCACACACAGACTTCAAGTTCTCACACGGACTCCTCGCACACGGACTCCTCTCGCATTCTTATGATTTCCTTTTGCTTTCTTGATGCTCTCTACACGCTGTCCAGACATGTTTTCAATGTATTCGTAATTCCTGCTTTCTATCTGTTTCTCATTTCGTGTGTATTAATACCCAGTGCAATGCATATCATTTGTCATCCCATCCGAGCACATTTGCAAAGGATCTGGTGCGCACACATACAGTCATATATGGTACTATTCGAGGATATTGCGAGATAGACCATGCATATGTTCAAATATGATTAAAATATGTTCGCGCGAAGAAAAACATATGTGGACATCTACGAGTTTGCCCCGTCTCATTTGAAATGTGATATGAGTTTCACACTGTATATAACATGTGATGAGAGCTGTTCTTATTTTCGACCACCACCAAAATCGCATCTCAACATCTCTGGACCTCTCCCATCAGAGGCTGTTCTCACTGGGACTCACCTTTGTATTATGGTAATAGTATGTACCACCCAATGGGTGAACCAACTCCTGCCAATTCCCATACATTGCGGGCCTGTTGATAGCATTAAATTGAGCCCATCAAATAATGACAAAGGTGACTTACCGAGGGTGATCGATTTCTTTTATACGAACCAAGGTATCTTCATGCCCATCGTCTGCACTTTGATATGAAGAAAATGTTAATCGACTCAGAATTGAGGTATTAGCTAGTAATGTGTACTCACAGCATTACTACTTCAGCATACCGTGGAAGTTGAGTTGGCCAGATACTGATTCCATGCTCAAACAACTTCACCACCTGATCAGAGCCTTTCAGTTAGAGTATAATAGCTACCATTAATAGAACAGTGCACGCCAGAACAATTCTATGCACCATGTTTTCCAGCTGGCGGTCGTTTGCATGCCAGATGTTGAACAAAAATGTGTTCAATTGGAGTGTGAATACATTTGTTTGGCTTTGTTTGGTGCGATTATCGATCATCATCTTCACAACCCACCAAGTATCTACACCAATAAAGCCAAATTGGGAATATTATCAGTATGTATACCTAGATTTCTGTCATATACTGGATCTGAGCACCTCCAATACCACCTGTGAACATCCCCATGCCTGGTCCGACCCCCTGTTTCCCCATCCACTCCATTCCTCCTTCTCCGACAATGCACGAAGTGCATCTCCGCAGGATTAGCCCTGCTACCTCTGCCCAACCCCATTCTGCTCTTCTGACACTACCCCTATGTCCTCCGATATTATACCCCTTCCATCCCACCCTATCTGGAGCTTCGCTCCTCCACTCTGTTGGTCCGACTGATCCTACTCATACTCCCTCCACCATCTCCGCTTTTCCAACTCACTCAGTTCCTCCAGTTTCTCTCATATCGCTTCACCCAACTATTAGTCCGCCCGACCGCCTCACCAGTCCACTCCTAGACTAGGAACCACTCAACTGGTCCTATCTCCATTTAGTATTGTAGTTCCGCTTTTCGAATCACCGGTAATCTGTTAGAATAACCAAGTGAACCAAGCCACAAGTGAGCTAATGAGAGTGAACAGGACTATAGTCCAGTGTCAGTTGCTTTTGTGTTGTGTAAACTAATGAGTGTACTATACCTATAGTCCAGTGTCAGTTGCTGAAGAGCAACCAACACAGGACTTGCTACCTATGGGCGAGTCTATGTAAACAAGTGTAAACACTGCCTAAGTAAGTAAGGAATTCACATCACATGCTAAGTAAGAGTCCAATATAGGAAGCAACATCATAACACAAATAACTCGCACCATAAGGTGCTCAATCACCACAACTAACATATCCTACGTACGTGGTTTTCTCATGACCGACATTATTAATATACCAGACTGTGTAGGGCACCACCGGTTTCTCAATCGCTACAACCAACCAGAAGCCCACCTGGTTAGAAACCATGTGGTGAGGGAGAAGCCCAGGTCGCGTCAACTTCTTGTTTTCATGGGTAATGCCACACTATGATGCTTTGCATGCCAATCATGATTGGTCGCATCAGGAGTACTTCCGTTGATGCCATCTTAAACGGGGTGGAAGTGAATTTATTTGTTGACAATTTCAGCAGTCAAGCGAAAAGTCAAGTCACTCTGGTAAGCACTATGCAAATGAGAATACCTCCTGACTTATTTTTGTTCTGATAGGCAGGAGTCCCTATGGTCATGGACATGGCCATCCTTGCCATCCCAGGTCTAGGCATGACAGAGACCTCACAAATTCTGTGCTCCTGCTCTTTACTTTTCAGCGTTGGCTGTATCTTCATGGGCATGATAGTGCAACACTTTGGCGAGTGGATGAGATCTATGGACTTTGTGGTTCAATTTACGCCATCTTTCTGCAACCTAAGTTTGACCTTTCTAACTTCAGTCATATTACCTGCAACAAAAAATGAAGATGTTTATCGTCATTACAGGCATACTGACTTCTTTTTGTGTACTCAGGTAAACAAACTCTGATTATGATTGCTTGCGTCTCTGATAGAATTACTGGTAGTGTGACAGGTTCCATTCTCAGATTCTTTTCAGGTGTCATCACCAACTTCAAGCCATCCGCACCGTTGATGATTATATCTTTCATTATGCTCGGCGTGGTGGTGGCTTCATTAGTTGTTTTGGTACTTGCCAGTTATGGCCCAGGGCCAGCCATGGTGCGACCCAAGTAATATCCTTGTCTGATTGTTCTGGAGAATATTCTCCTGAGCGGAATACCGCCAATATAGCGGAATATACTTCAAGCTGGGCAATCATACGTGCCGCACAAGCAGTCTTGTCCAGTACCCAGAGGTAGTTAACAATCACAGCATTTCTACATCAAATTAATTCAAATGCAACCTATTTTCCTCATTTTCTGATCATGATGGATTGTCTACTCATTCAGGTGTCATTTGGTCAGCATCTTCCAGCGGTATAATGGGCAACAGGCCTTCACCTCCTGCTTATTTGTTCAGAGTGTAGATATTTGTTATTGATTATCATGCTTTTGTGTCACCACACCAAGGACTACTACCAATGCTAGAATGTCCGATGGCATTATTGATATCCTCTGTGCCGTGACAATAGTTTTCATGGTAATGCTATTGTTAGAATCACTGAAGGACCAAGGCACAAGTGAGCTAATGAGAGTTAATAGGACTATAGTCCAGTGTCAGTTGCTATTGTGTTGTGTAAACTAATGAGTGTACTATACCTATAGTCCAGTGTCAGTTGCTGAAGAGCAACCAACACAGGACTTGCTACCTATGGGCGAGTCTATGTAATCAAGTGTAAACACTGCCTAAGTAAGTAAGGAATTCACATCACATGCTAAGTGAGGGTCCAATAGAGGAAGCAACATCATAACACAAATAGCTCGCACCATAAGGTGCTCAATCACCACAACTAACACTCCCCCCTGATTGTGCACCTCTACACATCTCAGCTCCCCCTCAACATACTCAGTCCCATCATCTGGCAGAACAACTGCACCTTGGGTCGAGCCAATGCCTTGGTCAAGATGTCAGCTGGCTGGTCAGCAGTGGGCACAAACACTGGTGCAATAATCTCCTTGTGCACCACATCTCGAAGCCAATACCAGCTGAGATCAAGCTGCTTCATCCGACCATGGTGCTCTGGGTGCTTGGCCACAGAGATGGCGCTCTGGTTGTCGATCCTAAGGACAGAGGGTGCAGTGGCAGGGAAGCCCATCTCAAACAAGAGATTTCGCATCCAGCGGATCTCCTTGCCTGCCTCAACTGCAGCCATGTACTCAGCTTCAGTGGTGGACAAGGCCACAATGCTTTGAAGCTTCGACGACCAGGAGACAGCACCAAGGCCAATCTTGACCAGGTAGCCACCAGTGGAGCGACCAGTGTCTTTGCATCCACCATGATCAGCATCAGAGAATGTGGAGAAGAGTTCGATGGAATTGGGATCAGGAGCATAGGTGATGGAGTAGTCTGCAGTGCCTTTCAGATAGCGGAGCAGGTGCTTGACAGCTTGCCAATGGGCAGGGCCAGGGTTGGAGTTGAATCGAGCAAGGCAGCCAACAGTGTAGGCAATGTCTGGGCGAGTGGTGGTGGCAAGATACATCAGAGCACCCACAGCTTCAAGGTAAGGAGTGGATCGCATGTCCTGAGTCTCATCAGCAGTCTGGGGACACTGAGCACGAGTGAGTCGAAGATTGGGCTGCATGGGAGTGGAGACAGGCTTGCAATCAGCCATGCTGAAGCGATCAAGGATGTCAAGGCAGTACTGGTGCTGGGAGATGGTGATGGAGTGCTTGGAGCGATCCCTGTCAATCTTGATGCCTAGAAGCTGGGTGGTAGGGCCCAAGTCTCGAAGCTTGAAGTGCTGAGACAAGTCCTTGATGATCTGATCAATTGCAGAAGCAGATTTCGATGCAAAGGTCATGTCATCAACAAAGACAGGCAAGATGATCCTGACTTCACCCTTGACATAGATATAGATGCTGGCATCAGAGTAGGACTGGGTGAATCCAATAGACTCCAGAACAGAGCGCATTTTCTTGTTCCAGCGATTGCCACCTTGCTTGGTGCCATAGATGCTCTTCTGCAACAAGGCAGACCATCTTCTTTGGATCACCTTCAGCAAAGCCTTCAGGTTGTTCCATGTAGACGTCACAGTCCATCTCCCCATTGAGATAGGCATGTGAGATGTCGATGGAGCGAAGGTGGAGGTCATGGATGGCAGCCATAGCAAGGACAACACGAATGGTGGGCATACGCACAGTGGGAGCAAATATTTCGACATAGTCAAATCCAGGACGCTGGTTGTAGCCCTTGGCAACAAGTCTGCCCTTGTAGCGCTCAATAGAGCCATCAGCATTGCGCTTCACCTTGAATATCCACTTGGAGCCAATGACCTTGATCCCAGCTGGTCTAGGGACAAGTTTCCAAGTTCCATTGCTTCGATGAGCATTGAGTTCCTCAAGAGCTGCTTGGATTCCACTGCTCTGAATCAACTCGAGTCAATGCCTCCCTATAAGACAATGGCTCGGTGGAAGAGCTGGTAGACAAGGCAAGCTCAAATCCTTGAGCAAAGTCAGCATCCTCAGTCTCATCATCAACAACATCAGTCAGCTGAGCTGGAGAGAGCTTCCACCAGTCTCTGGGAGGTTGCCTGTTGCGTCGAGGGAGTCTGGCACCAATGCCTATGGGAGATGGTGGTCTAGGAGGTGGATTGGGACGAGCTGCAGGAGGAGGAGTGACTGGATCAGGAACAGGGACGACAGGAGGGACATCAGGAACTGCTGGAGGGACCACATCTCCCCCTTGATCCAGTGACTCATCAGAACTGGACTCATCATAGTCAGAGTTAGAGTCAGAGTCATCTGAATGAGGAGGATAGTAATAGGAGGGCGCTGCTGGGGGCTCAGAGGTAGTCTTCGACTGTCTGGGAGGATGGGGAGCGTCGACAGGAGGTGCTGGAGCGATGGGAGCTGGAATGGATGGACTGGATGGGCGCTTGGACAGAGGGAAGTATCTTTCATCAAAGTCAGCCCTTTCACAGATGATTGTCTTCTTGGAGGTGGGGTTGTAGAACTTCCAGCCCTTGTAGCCAGCAGGGTAGCCAATGAAGACGCACTTTTCCATGTGGGAGCCAAGTCCATCTCTCTTGTCCCTCTGGACGTGCACATAGGCAGTGCATCCCCAAACTCGAAGATGCTGAGACATCAGGCTTATTACCATGCCACAGCTCATAGGGTGTAGCGCTGTCTACAGCTTCAGTAGGGCATCTGTTCCAGACATGGACCAGAGCAGCAAGACACTCGCCCCAGAAGGCCTTGGGAAGCCCAGACTCGTCCAGCATAGCAGTGAGTCGCTCAGAGAGGACTCTGTTAGCTCTCTCAGCAACCCCATTCTGCTGTGGTCTAGCACGAACTGTGTGCTGCCTCTCAATGCCGCACTGGGTGGTGAATTCAATGAAGGCATTGCTCATGTACTCCCCTCCCTTGTCATCTCTGAGGATCTTTAGCTTTCGCTCTGACTGGTTCTCAGCATAGGCCTTGAATGTCTTGAAGGCCTCAAAGACATCAGACTTAGCTTTAATAGGGAGCACAAAGCGAAATCGAGAGAAGTCGTCGATGAACGTGACCCAATAGCGATAGCCAGAGAAGCTGGGGTAGGGGACCTTATGGACATCGGTGTGGACAAGCTCCAGAGGTCGAGTAGCACGCCATTGAGATGAGGGGAATGGGTTTGCATGCATCTTGCCAGCTAAGCATGGCTCACAGATGGGATCTGGCATTTTCTTTGAATCTAGCTTGAGTCCAGTGACCATGTCATGATCAATAAGCTTCTTGACACCTGCTAAGTGATGGTGGGCGAGTCTCCTGTGCCATAGGTCCAAGTCCAGAGGTAGAGTGGTCGCTGCAGAGGCATATTCAGAGAGAGGGATGGTGGAGCCATCTAAGAATGCTGCATTGCTGCTGCTGATGGGTGCAACAAACAATGTGGTGCCTGCAGGACGCTGAAATGACATCTTGGTGGAGTCAATGGTGACATGGAAGCCACTGTGGCGAGTGAGGTAGAGGACAGAGAGCAGGTTGTTGCGAAGGTCAGGGACATGCAAGACTCTTGAAAACTCGACAGGTCTAACGCTCTTGCCATCAATGACTGGGTTGAAGACCACAGTGCCAACACCAGCAGAGTAGACAAAGGTGTTGTCAGCTAGCTTGATAGGGATGCGATTTGGAGTGTAATTGCGAAGCCAGTGACGATGAGGGGTCATGTGGGATGTGGCACCTGTGTCTGCATTCCAGTCGACAGTAGCATCAAGTTGAAGGGGACAGATAGTGCTTGAAGGGTCAAAAGAGCGAAGACAAGCAGTGCCAGCAAACTCAATGATAGTAGAGTTGATAGGAATAGGAAAGGAAGTGGGAGAGGGCGATGCAGTGGGGTCTGTGAGACTCTGAGTCTTCCTGGAGAGCTTCTTGGTCTTCTTCCTCCTGCTACGACGCTGTCTAGAGTACAGGGAGGCAAGGGTAGACCAGATAAGCACAGGATGATCTTCAATAGCATCAATCTGGGACCTCATCTCCAATGGGCAAGCCAGATAGAGTTCCCCAGCAGCTTGGTCAGCCTTAAGGTCCCATACAGCCTGTGCCTCAGGCTGTGAGTCTGCAGGACGCTTCTCAGAGCCACTGACAAGCAGCCACAAGCCCTTGGAGCGCAGGTAAGACTCCATCTCTGATCTCCAGATAAGATAGTTGGAAGAGCTGAGTTGAGGGATAGTCATGGGTGACATAGCAAGGGATTGGGTGGCAAGTAGGACGGTCTAGGATGATGCAGGACGTTCAGGAAAGCAATGGATAGGACAGGGAGCGACAGGGGTGGGAGTGAGGGACAGGGGGTAGATGACCAAAAGGGGCTATGGAAAATTTCAACAAAGCCACTTGGTTGAACTACTCAAAAGCAACACAATGGGTGTTCCAACAGTCCAAATGGTGCTCAGACACAAAGATAAGGGTTTCCTGGGGCGTAGAATGCGATGGAATACACTAGGGAAGGAGTGGAGCAGTAGTTGGATGAGGAATGAATGACTTGAGGTCCTTAAAGCGCAGGGCTCATAACCTGTTAGAATAACCAAGTGAACCAAGCCACAAGTGAGCTAATGAGAGTGAATAGGACTATAGTCCAGTGTCAGTTGCTATTGTGTTGTGTAAACTAATGAGTGTACTATACCTATAGTCCAGTGTCAGTTGCTGAAGAGCAACCAACACAGGACTTGCTACCTATGGGCGAGTCTATGTAATCAAGTGTAAACACTGCCTAAGTAAGTAAGGAATTCACATCACATGCTAAGTGAGGGTCCAATAGAGGAAGCAACATCATAACACAAATAGCTCGCACCATAAGGTGCTCAATCACCACAACTAACAGCTATTGGATGTTTTATTCTGCTATGCCTTCAAACTTGTCATTGTAATCGCCTAAGTAAGTTGGTCAGTTTATTCAAGGAACGGCTATGTCTGACGTACTTTGAATGGGAGAAGGGGCATCCCATTGAATCTGACGGGGAGAACGTGTGTGAATTTCAATTGGTGCATATTCTTCCAAGATTCTTGCTCAATGATATTCTGAGTCTGACCCAAGAATTGTTGCATCTTCACTAGGTTAAACTTAGGCAGCTGTACTGATACATAAAGCTTTCTCAACTCTTATCATTTTTGCGTCGGTTTCCTGATGATAGTAGCATTGATGGCTGATGTAAGCCTGTGCAAGGGCGGTGATGGGCCAATGTCTTCTTCCATCATGAGATTCCAGTCTGGTTCAATGCTAGCATGATACCGGATCTCCTTATTTCTACTTTTCTTCTTCATGATCTACACATGTAGGGGTTGCAATCATGAGTTTGACGTCCACAGGGGTCTCACTGCTCACAAACGGTATTGTTTGAACAAAATAACGGATGCTGCTGCCACCTCTCTAGCAAAGAGGCGACATGATCTAGAAGTTCTCCAAGCAGCCAAAGTCTGTCGTCATGAAGAAGATGAATCAGCTCTGAGGGATCGCCAGGACATATGTTAGTCTAAACTCTGTTCTGCTTCTACTCCGGACTTGCCCATAGTAGCCTTACTCTGTCCTCTCATAGTCTTCCAGAGTTCCACCGAACTCCCCTGACGTCTGACCTCCGGACTTCCCTGGACTTCCATCCTGCCCCTCAGAAATTAAGGGCACGTACTTGGGTAAGGGGTGCAGCGCACGAGCTGAAGCCGAAGCCCTTTGAGTAGTCTTTCCCTTGAGCATGACCTTAACAGAGGCCGAAGAAATTTGTGGATGTGGTCTCCCATCGTATTACATCGTACATGGTCTCATATTTATATTTTTATGTCCGCTGATACCAATTCTAAAAACTAAGGCTCAGGAACAAGTATATGTTAGAATAACTGAGTGAACCAAGCCAAAAGTGAGCTAACGAGAGTGAACAGGACTATAGTCCAGTGTCAGTTGCTAAAGAGCAACCAACAGAGGACTTGCTACCTATGGGCGAGTCTATGTAAACAAGTGCAAACACTACCTAAGTAAGTAAGGAATTCACATCACATGCTATGTGAGAGTCCAATGGAGTGATCAATATCATAACACAAGAAACTCGCACCATAAGGTGCTCAATCAGTATTAGCAAATCAAATTGAGATTTGAGGTGACTGGGGCTGGTGTAGTTCCCCTTGATGCTACATTGTCAAAAAACATGCTAGGTAAGTGCTTCAGCACTGATCCCTGTGGATTACTGACCAATTAGATCTGTAGATTCAGCTGATTGTGATTTGCCGTGGTTTAAGGACCTCAATCCCATCTGGTGTACTAATCCAGCATTTGCAGCAAAAACCCATTCCTCAAAGCCTGGTGTTGATCATGCCGGTGAATTGTATGCACTCATGCACTCGACTGGTGGGACTGGTCCCTCCACAAAATCCAGGAATCCAGCCAATGCTCAGCACAGTTCCAGCATTCATGTGCTCCCTCCCAGCACTCATGCTGCCACAATGAGCGCTGCTTCTACCAGTGCTTATGCGCCCCTGCCCAGCACTCACACCACCACCAGCACCACTTCTATCAGCACTCATGTGCCTCTGCCCAGCATTCAGGCTGCCACAACAAGCGCTGCTTCTACCAGCGCTCAGTCCTCCCTCCCTGATGGCCCTTTCTTGCCTGATCCTGCCCATTCCAGCGGCCCTCAGCCCTCCTCTCATCGCATCCCTCCTTATGGCCCTTTTTTGCCTGAAGCCTGTTAGTTGTGGTGATTGAGCACCTTATGGTGCGAGTTATTTGCGTTATGATGTTGCTTCCTCTATTGGACTCTCACTTAGCATGTGATGTGAATTTCTTACTTACTTAGGCAGTGTTTACACTTGTTTACATAGACTCGCCCATAGGTAGCAAGTCCTGTGTTGGTTGCTCTTCAGCAACTGACACTGGACTATAGGTATTGTACACTCATTAGTTTACATAACACAAAAGCAACTGACACTGGACTATAGTCCTGTTCACTCTCATTAGCTCACTTGTGGCTTGCTTCACTTGGTTATTCTAACAAAGCCCAGATTGATCCTCATCTTCTCAACTTCCAACCTCCCTCCCCTGGTGATCCTGACACCAACCGTCATGCCATGCCCCTCCCTGATGATGATTTCAACATATACAACGACAACAGCATGTACGATAGCTTCGCCAATGAAGAGGATTATAGTGTTATTAGCCTTGACAGCCCTCCTAAAGTTGTTGGGAAAAAGTGTCACCTTGGCGCAACACCCTCTCCTCCTCCTAATGCTCCCTTTCCTGTGTTTGAAGTCACGCAGAAGTCGCGCACTCCCATCTATGATAGTTGCGCAGCATTTCGATCTTGTGAGCCCACTAGCCATGGCCATCCCCGCAAGCCAGCATCTATTGCATCGTCGGGGATGACGTGCAGCATCTCAACCCCTACAACAATAACTTGTGATGGCTTATCTGATTTAATCTCTCCAACCCCCAAGACCTCACTCTCTGCGAACCTGAAAGGTACCAGCATGAAGTATAAGAGAGTGAAGTCCAGCATCCAGGAGCAGGTGAACAAAGTCAGCATGGAACTTGAGAGCATGCAGTCTGACACTGCCTCATGTCGTGATTCAAGGAATGAGCACTTGAAGGTGAAGCTCAATGCGAAGCTCAAGTATCATCATGAGGAGAAGAAGTACCAATGGCTTTGTGAATCATGTTCGCATGATGCAATGCAAGCCACTGCCACCCATCAGCGAGAACAGGAGGCCAGGGATGCTGAGATTTGCCTTTGTGAGGGTGATGAGCGAGTGCAAAGCACAGTAGTGCTATTATCAGACTCAGAGGAATCATCACTGGAAAGATCTGAAAAGCTGAGAAGGGAGGGGGATAGAGGTGATATAGGTGTGTTAGAATAACCAAGTGAAGCAAGCCACAAGTGAGCTAATGAGAGTGAACAGGACTATAGTCCAGTGTCAGTTGCTATTGTGTTGTGTAAACTAATGAGTGTACTATACCTATAGTCCAGTGTCAGTTGCTGAAGAGCAACCAACACAGGACTTGCTACCTATGGGCGAGTCTATGTAAACAAGTGTAAACACTGCCTAAGTAAGTAAGGAATTCACATCACATGCTAAGTGAGAGTCCAATAGAGAAAGCAACATCATATCACAAATAACTCGCACCATAAGGTGCTCAATCACCACAACTAACACTCCCCCCTGATTGTGCACTTCTACACATCTCAGCTCCCCCTCAAGCTACTCAGTCCCATCATCTGGCAGAACAACTGCACCTTGGGTCGAGCCAATGCCTTGGTCAGGATGTCAGCTGGCTGGTCAGCAGTGGGCACAAACACTGGCGCAATAATCTCCTTGTGCACCACATCTCGAAGCCAATACCAGCTGAGATCAAGCTGCTTCATCCGACCATGGTGCTCTGGGTGCTTGGCCACAGAGATGGCGCTCTGGTTGTCGATCCTAAGGACAGAGGGTGCAGTGGCAGGGAAGCCCATCTCAAACAAGAGATTTCGCATCCAGCGGATCTCCTTGCCTGCCTCAACTGCAGCCATGTACTCAGCTTCAGTGGTGGACAAGGCCACAATGCTTTGAAGCTTCGACGACCAGGAGACAGCACCAAGGCCAATCTTGACCAGGTAGCCACCAGTGGAGCGACCAGTGTCTTTGCATCCACCATGATCAGCATCAGAGAATGTGGAGAAGAGTTCGATGGAATTGGGATCAGGAGCATAGGTGATGGAGTAGTCTGCAGTGCCTTTCAGATAGCGGAGCAGGTGCTTGACAGCTTGCCAATGGGCAGGGCCAGGGTTGGAGTTGAATCGAGCAAGGCAGCCAACAGTGTAGGCAATGTCTGGGCGAGTGGTGGTGGCAAGATACATCAGAGCACCCACAGCTTCAAGGTAAGGAGTGGATCGCATGTCCTGAGTCTCATCAGCAGTCTGGGGACACTGAGCACGAGTGAGTCGAAGGTTGGGCTGCATGGGAGTGGAGACAGGCTTGCAATCAGCCATGCTGAAGCGATCAAGGATGTCAAGGCAGTACTGGCGCTGGGAGATGGTGATGGAGTGCTTGGAGCGATCCCTGTCAATCTTGATGCCTAGAAGCTGGGTGGTAGGGCCCAAGTCTCAAAGCTTGAAGTGCTGAGACAAGTCCTTGATGATCTGATCAATTGCAGAAGCAGACTTCGATGCAAAGGTCATGTCATCAACAAAGACAGGCAAGATGATCCTGACTTCACCCTTGACATAGATATAGATGCTGGCATCAGAGTAGGACTGGGTGAATCCAATAGACTCCAGAACAGAGCGCATTTTCTTGTTCCAGCGATTGCCACCTTGCTTGGTGCCATAGATGCTCTTCTGCAACAAGCAGACCATCTTCTTTGGATCACCTTCAGCAAAGCCTTCAGGTTGTTCCATGTAGACGTCACAGTCCATCTCCCCATTGAGATAGGCATGTGAGATGTCGATGGAGCGAAGGTGGAGGTCATGGATGGCAGCCATAGCAAGGACAACACGAATGGTGGGCATACGCACAGTTGGAGCAAATATTTCGACATAGTCAAAGCCAGGATGCTGGTTGTAGCCCTTGGCAACAAGTCTGCCCTTGTAGCGCTCAATAGAGCCATCAGCATTGCGCTTCACCTTGAATATCCACTTGGAGCCAATGACCTTCATTCCAGCTGGTCTACACAGATGATTGTCTTCTTGGAGGTGGGGTTGTAGAACTTCCAGCCCTTGTAGCCAGCAGGGTAGCCAATGAAGACGCACTTTTCCATGTGGGAGCCAAGTCCATCTCTCTTGTCCCTCTGGACGTGCACATAGGCAGTGCATCCCCAAACTCGAAGATGTGAGACATCAGGCTTATTACCATGCCACAGCTCATAGGGCGTAGCGCTGTCTACAGCTTCAGTAGGGCATCTGTTCCAGACATGGACCAGAGCAGCAAGACACTCGCCCCAGAAGGCCTTGGGAAGCCCAGACTCGTCCAGCATAGCAGTGAGTCGCTCAGAGAGGACTCTGTTAGCTCTCTCAGCAACCCCATTCTGCTGTGGTCTAGCACGAACAGTGTGCTGCCTCTCAATGCCACAATGGGTGGTGAATTCAATGAAGGCGTTGCTCATGTACTCCCCTCCCTTGTCATCTCTGAGGATCTTTAGCTTTCGCTCTGACTGGTTCTCAGCATAGGCCTTGAATGTCTTGAAAGCCTCAAAGACATCAGACTTAGCTTTAATAGGGAGCACAAAGCGAAATCGAGAGAAGTCGTCGATGAACGTGACCCAATAGCGATAGCCAGAGAAGCTGGGGTAGGGGACCTTATGCACATCGGTGTGGACAAGCTCCAGAGGTCGAGTAGCACGCCATTGAGATGAGGGGAATGGGTTTGCATGCATCTTGCCAGCTAAGCATGGCTCACAGATGGGATCTGGCATTTTCTTTGAATCTAGCTTGAGTCCAGTGACCATGTCATGATCAATAAGCTTCTTGACACCTGCTAAGTGATGGTGGGCGAGTCTCCTGTGCCATAGGTCCAAGTCCAGAGGTAGAGTGGTCGCTGCAGAGGCATATTCAGAGAGAGGGATGGTGGAGCCATCTAAGAATGCTGCATTGCTGCTGCTGATGGGTGCAACCAACAATGTGGTGCCTGCAGGACGCTGAAATGACATCTTGGTGGAGTCAATGGTGACATGGAAGCCACTGTGGCGAGTGAGGTAGAGCACAGAGAGCAGGTTGTTGCGAAGGTCAGGGACATGCAAGACTCTTGAAAACTCGACAGGTCTAACGCTCTTGCCATCAATGACTGGGTTGAAGACCACAGTGCCAACACCAGCAGAGTAGACAAAGGTGTTGTCAGCTAGCTTGATAGGGATGCGATTGGGAGTGTAATTGCGAAGCCAGTGACGATGAGGGGTCATGTGGGATGTGGCACCTGTGTCTGCATTCCAGTCGACAGTAGCATCAAGTTGAAGGGGACAGATAGTGCTTGAAGGGTCAAAAGAGCGAAGACAAGCAGTGCCAGCAAACTCAATGATAGCAGAGTTGATAGGAATAGGAAAGGAAGTGGGAGGAGGGCGATGCAGTGGGGTCTGTGAGACTCTGAGTCTTCCTGGAGAGCTTCTTGGTCTTCTTCCTCCTGCTACGACGCTGTCTAGAGTACAGGGAGGCAAGGGTAGACCAGATAAGCACAGGATGATCTTCAATAGCATCAATCTGGGACCTCATCTCCACTGGGCAAGCCAGATAGAGTTCCCCAGCAGCTTGGTCAGCCTTAAGGTCCCATACAGCCTGTGCCTCAGGCTGTGAGTCTGCAGGACGCTTCTCAGAGCCACTGACAAGCAGCCACAAGCCCTTGGAGCGCAGGTAAGACTCCATCTCTGATCTCCAGATAAGATAGTTGGAAGAGCTGAGTTGAGTGATAGTCATGGGTGACATAGCAAGGGATTGGGTGGCAAGTAGGGCGGGTCTAGGATGATGCAGGACGTTCAGGAAAGCAATGGACAGGACAGGGAGCGACAGGGGTGGGAGTGAGGGACAGGGGGTAGATGACCAAAAGGGGCTATGGAAAATTTCAACAAAGCCACTTGGTTGAACTACTCAAAAGCAACATAATGGGTGTTCCAACAGTCCAAATGGTGCTCAGACACAAAGATAAGGGTTTCCTGGGGCGTAGAATGCGATGGAATACACTAGGGAAGGAGTGGAGCAGCAGTTGGATGAGGAATGAATGACTTGAGGTCCTTAAAGCGCAGGGCTCATAACCTGTTAGAATCACTGAAAGGACCAAGGCACAAGTGAGCTAATGACAGTTAACAGGACTAGAGTCCAGTGTCAGTTGCTGAGGAACACCTGACCACTAGACTCACTACCTACAGTCGAAGATATGTAAACAAATGTAAACACAGCTTAATAAGGTATGTAAGTCAAGTCTGGCAATGCAGACAAGTCTGGAGCAATAGGTTATAATATAAGGCAAATAACTCGCACCATAAGGTGCTCAATCACCACAACTAACAGCAAGCTCACCTCCAACTTGAAGTTCATAATGCAGCCACCAGAGGGGGAGCTCATGCTGGTGGGCAACATCTCCCAAGTAGGAGGGTGGCTGGGCACTGAAGAAGGTGGGGGTATTCATGGCAGATGCCATCGAACTAGAGAGGGTGGTGACCATGATGACGCCGACTTCAGTTGTCTGTTGGGACAGTAGCACACATGGTCAGTTTTCAAACACAAACTGGTCAGAGGACAGACAGATAATGGAGAGCAAGCACAAGTTCATTGTCAGAGCACACCACCATTCTGCTTCCTTTGCACCTGCACCTTACTCCCATTTTTGATAGCATCATTCTTCTGGATGAAATTGTTTTTTGCCACAAAGGCTTGGTACTCCTGGTTAATGAACCCCAGGACATGCAGGCGGATCCCAAATTGGGTCTTGACATGCTACAATGTAAGCAAGGTAGGAGACTCAAATCCTCCATCTGGGTGGACTGACCGCAAGCATATATAGGCTATGGTTGGGTTGACATAGCTGTTGGCAAACATTTGAAGGGTGTTCCTGGGTATGTAAACAGCATTGAGCAGGGATGAAATGTTTTCCTGTAGGCTTGCATCATCCACCAGCGCATTCTGCAGGAGATCCATGAGTGAGAGGCCAGCCTTCAGCTGTTCTTCATTTAAGGTAAGCCAATACTTAGAGGATGATGGCGGCAGAGGTGGGACAGATCCAGCTATTGCATATCAATCTGATATAGATCTGAGAATGATTGATATTGGTTGAACTTCCTCCAAAGCATATGAAATGCGGGTCTTCATTCTAGCAGGCACATTGAATCTTTCTGAGGTTCCTTTTTCACCTCTATCAGACCCATTAGCTACGTTAGGTGGGGAAGGCTTGAAATA